ATTTCAATATGAACATTTAGCCATGTGATGAAATAGGGTTGCCCACTTGCAGATGGCCCATTCTGAGATATTTCCCCATTTTTGTGGTTATCCCTAGGCTGTTCTTTGGGAGGGGGTTTTATGATCCTGTTCTGGATTTTATGGTCTGTCCTTGGAGCTAGTGACTTACAGCCTTTTTTTCAAAATCAGGCCTGGTCCTTAAATGGAGACAAATGGGATTTATATTGTCTTTACAGTACAAATATAAAAAGCTGTGTGTTTTGAGGAGTTATTCCACTATAGGTTTAGACTAGTGGTTAATTGTGCACAGTGAGAGGCTAGGTTTGCTGCAGACTCAAAAGTGAACTGATGGTTAGAAACCATACAGATGTGGCCCTGAGCTGTCACACTAATGTCTCTGACTCCTGTGGTATTCACAGGTATCTGTGCTAAGTGCTGAAAGGGTCCATGATTTGCAGACATCCAGATTCAAATAGCAAAATGTAAACCCAAAGAGTGTTTTATTCTGCAGAAGTCTAGCATGCTGGGGTCTCCCATGATCAGAATAGAGAGACAACCAAGTAAGTTTGCAGGCCTGATTTAAAGGACCTTCGGGAATTCTGAGGTAATTGACCTCTGTGTTAATCTGTTTGGGTCCATCTCTACAGACATTCCGTTAGTAGGATGTAGGGGGCTTGAAACTTGCTGGGGAGGTCTAGAAACTGTTGCTGAGGAAGTATGGAAACTGCTGCTAACCCATTTGTCCTTGCCTCAGGCCAGGTGGCGGGGCAGTTTCTGAGGTCTGGAATTGCCCGAGTTCTTGGAAACAGATTTATGTCTAGTCTTGTTAACTTGCAATTTGAAGCCTGTCATGGAATCAGCCTAGCCTTCTCAGTGCACTCTCTGGAAACCCTAACTACTGAATGTTGGAAACTAAAGGAAGGATCCTTTGAAAAGTTGTGTCTGACTCAGCAGTTTCGTGTCTTCCCAAGCCAGTCCAAACCTTATTTAATAATATTGGGTTCCTCGATTTATCTAACTTCCATCTTGATGTTCATCATGAATAGTTCTCTCTAGGTAGCTAATGTCCCAGTTCCTTCTCAGATAATTCTGACTCCCAAGTCAACAGATATTTCAAATGTTGTTCTCAATGCTATGGGACAAATTTCAAGAAAAAAAAATATCTGCCCTGCCCCGGAGAACACAGGGTTCCTTCTGAGGGTTTTTGGTCTTATTGATAAAAAAAAAAATTTTTTTAAAGGGAACTCAGAAGAATGCTTGAGGACAATTTGGAGTTTGGGGGTGGGGGAAGAAAAGACAGGCAAGCCCAAAATTTCAGCTGTTGCCCATAGTGGAGAGATCACTAAAGGAGGGAGAGTTAGGCTTTCTGAATTGACATCTAGCAAGCATGAGTTCAGCAGTGGATGTTTGAGCACCTGTATGGGAGGTGTGCTGTGTAGGCATGGCTCTTTAGAGACAGAAACTGTCAAGGCAAGAGGTTTAGAATTTTGGCTGGCTATTAACCAAGAAAGGGAGACAGAGGTCAAAAGGAGAAGTTATGTTTTCTTAGGACACAGAAAAGCAGGAAGGATTAGCAATGAGGATTTTAAGTTAACTACATGGAGAGAAGGGATTCTAGGGTATATATCCCATTCAGAGGGGTAGTCTCTTCATCTATAAGTAGGACAGCATTCCTGAGGGGCAGCTTCCTATCCTGGTGACTGATAGTTCTATTTGTGTTAGCTTCTAAGATAGAGGCCTACACTATGCTTTCGTGATCTTACAGTATTTTTCACCATTCCAATAAAACTTTACAAAAACAGGTAGTGGCCACACATGGCCACAGACTGATTTGCTGATCTCTGTTCTACACCATGGATTCTGTGGTGAGATGTCTTGGAGAAGGCAGGGGCGTGGGGCATTTGAAGAAGATGGTCCGAAGCCTCTTTCCCAAGCAAACTGACTTTGTCTGGGTCTATCCCTAGTCGAGGAAAGCTAGAGGTATTGGGGAGTGGAGGCCAGCCAAAATCATGGTTCGCTCCTGGATTGCAGGCTTCCAGAGTCAAGAAACTCTCCTTTCCCGGGCACTAGAACAACCTGGAGCACCTGTTTGAAAAGTTCTGGACTAGTGCTAGAGAGATGGCTCAGTAGTTAAGAGCACTTGTTGCTCTTGCTGGGGGCTCAGATTTGGTTCCTAGCGTCACATGTGGCTCCACTGCAGGCATCAGGAACACATGCAAGGCATATACACACAGGTCAAATTGCATGGTGGCACAAGCCTTTAATTCCAGCACTTGGGAGGCAGAAGTAGGTAGAGCTCTGTGAGTCCAAGGATAGTCTGGTCTGCATATCAAGCTTCAGGCCATCCAAGCCTACATAATGCTGTACCAACAAAACAAAACCTAAAAAAACTAAAAATATCCCAAATGTTTAAAAAAATTTAAAAGGTTGCATTACTTACAGGTCTAAGATTATGTTAATTCAATATACCTAGAAGATGCCCTGCATTAGGACAGCTCCAAAGTGTAGCTGAGGAGACATGCTATAGCTCAAGAAAGGGTGTAGTGGTGACTAAGGTTAAGATAGAGCTAACACTGACACTCTGGGCTGATGTTAATGAGTAAATGTTAATACTTGAAGTAGAAATGAAACTAGGATTTCCCTTTTCTTCCTTCATCAGTATCATGTGCCCAAAGGGAGTTTGGTATTGCTATGTTTAGCAGGAAAGCTGGATAGATTAGAATCTCAGAGATCCTTACATATACTTTGAGGGAAAAAAATTTCATATCACTTTCTTTGAAGTTCCACTCAAAGCTTTGAAATCGATAGAACCAAGGCAGGAAGGAACAAGTTGAGACAAATATTGATATTTTTTTCCACAGGGTCTTTCTATGTAGCCCAGGCTGGCCTCAGATTTATGGTGCCCCTCCACCTTTCACTCAGCTTCCTAGTTCTCAGATCATCATAGATACTGGAACTCCAGCCCATGTTCTTGCACATGGAAAGAAGTGCTGTCCTACTGAGTCAAACCTCCAGGCTCAAATTTCTTGTCAAAGTTGTCATCTCTAGTGTTCTCACAGAGTGCTTTGAAACACTTGGAAAACCTCTAGGGAGGCTAGCTCCAGGGTGGACACATGTCTAGTTAAGATTGATTCCTCTTAAGTTTGAGAACAAATGGAGGCTTCTCATTTGAGAGGGCTCTAGTTATATCAAGGCAGGATTACTAGATGGATGGGTACCAGTCCTAGCTGAGAACTTTGAGAGATGGTTTTGAACTCTTGGTTTTTGCTTCTGAATAAAAGCTTCATAATATTACAAGAATGAAGTGGGACAAGGGGTATAAGTTACTTTAAACAGTACCCAGAACATCACAAGACATGAGTATATCACATGAACTACTGTTGGACTCTAAGATCCAAAACCAGGGGACGTGCTCCCACAGAAACGCACACGGACAGGACTCGCTGCAATCATATGAGGTTTGGTTTAATGAAACTAGTGCATTAGGACTCTCTCGGATGCAGGGAAGAGAGACCCGAACAAGAGCTGGGTACAGTATTTATGGGTACAGTATAGTTCACAAGGGCAAACCACAAAGTCTGACTGTTCTGGTTCGGTCCCTAGGTGACTCAGATTATGACAAGGAGTGTCTTTCTTTTGCCCAGGTTTATTACGTTAAGGGCTCAGCTTCCTGATTCCTGGAATGTATCTAAGTGCTCTGGGCTCTCTTCACCCACAGGTGGGTTCCCTCCCCTGTTCTCTCCACCCGCAGGTGGGTTCCCTCCCCTGTGGTCTGAGGAACGTTAATCAGCCTCTCCCTTCCTCCTCTGAATGTTAATCCAGCAAGTGTCTTCTGACTAAGGAATGTGCACCTCCCGGGATGTGTCCTGGTTCAGTGGGATTCTTTTAATCTTAAATTCAAAGAGACCCGAAAAATCCTACATTTAGACCCAAAAGTCTTACACTACAACGTTAATTAGCCCCAGTAGCTCTGGTGTGTACTTGTGTTTAGAGAGGGGACTTGGGTCGGTATATCAATGCAGTTTCAGATCTGGCCAGTAGATGGCACCAAAATCCCAAGGCAAAAATTGATCTGCCTCTTTTGAAGAGAAACCATTCCTGTTTGTGAGCTATCTGTCTGGAGAACACTGACTGCATTTCAGGCTGCTCCATAGGGCTCTTTTTTTTCCGGCATCAAGCTAACGCTACTGAGACATTTTATTATGGTGTGGGAACAGCACCATGGACAAGACAAGGAGCCAGAGAGATGGTTCAACATTAAGAGCATTTGTGTTCTTTCCAGGGCCAGAGCTCAAATTAGGCACCCATGTCGGATAATTCAACTGTCTGTCATTCCAGTTTGGGGGGACCTCTTCTTGCTTCCTCAGACATCTACACACATACACTCACACATACCATAAAAATAAAACCTTGGGCCAGAGAAATGGCTCAGTGGTTAAGAGCACTTACCGCACTTCCAGAGGTCCTGAGTTCAATTATTTCCAGCAACCACATGGTAACTCACAACCATCTGTCATGGGATTTGATGCCCTCTTGTGGTGCATCTGAAGACAGCTACATTGTATTCATAAAATAATTTTTTTTTTTTTTCAAGACAGGGTTTCTCTGTGGAGCCCTGGCTGTCCTGGAACTCACTCTGTAGACCAGGCTAGCCTCGAACTCTCGAACTCAGAAATCCGCCTGCCTCTACCTCCCAAGTGCAGGGATTAAAGGTGTGCGCCACCACCGCCCGGCAAAATAAATAATTCTTTAAAAAATAAAACCCTAAGAAAATAAATAGTGGCACTGTGGCAAGGGAAGGGAATTAGAAGGTGTATGAGGACAAGAATGAGTTAATAAAACAAAACTACAGATAGATTACATTTGATTCATGTGGTAAGGTTTCGCACAGTTATATTTCTTTACTGAATCTCTCTTCTTTTTGTCTTACAGTCTGTCATCCACTACAAAGGCAGGATAGGTCTGAAGAGGGTAGGGAGGAAAATTTAAGCCTACAAGGTTTGCAAATTTCCCATTCAGCTTACTGGGAGTGTGTCAGCTGGGCTCCACTTCCTTCCAGAACAGCTTCCTGAATGCCCTCTTTACTTCCTTGTTCCTTAGGGTATATATGAGAGGGTTAAGAGAAGGCGTTCCCACTGCATAGAAGAGACCAAAGAACTTGCCCCTCTCTCGGGCATAAGGATTTTTGGGTTGTAGATAGACAGCAATGACTGAGCTGTAGAAGAGGGTGACCACAATAAGGTGGGACGAGCAGGTCCCAAAAGCTTTCCTGCGCCCCTTTGCAGAGCTTATCCTCAGCACGGCCCTGGCAATGGCACCATAAGAGACCAGGATGAGGCTCAGAGGCACAACCAAGATAAAGACACTGGCAACAGCCATTTGGATCTCATTATAGGTGGTGTCCCCACAGGATAGTCGAATCAAAGCAGGGACCTCACACACAAAGTCATCAACCTGATGGTGGGGACAGAAGGGCAGGTGAAGAGTCGATGGTGTCTGAACCACTGACTCCACCAGGCCAATCATCCAGGCCACACCTGCCAGCTGCCAACACAGTCGAGGATGGATGATGGTGGCATAATGCAGGGGCTGGCAGACAGCCACATAGCGGTCAAAGGCCATCACTGCTAGCAGAATGCACTCTGTTGTCCCCAGGGATAGGAAGATGAAGAGCTGTACAAAGCATCCCAGGAAGCTGATGGTCTTTGTGGGGCCCCAGAGGTTGAACAGCATCTGGGGGACACAGGTTGTAGTGAAGCAGAGGTCCAAGAAGGAGAGGTTAGAGAGGAAGAAGTACATTGGGGAGTGGAGCCTGGGGTCCAGTGTGGACAGCAGGAGGATGAGTGTGTTTCCTAGGAGAGTGAGGAGGTAGGAGCACAGGACAACCACGAAGAGAATCTTTTCCAGTTGTGGGTGTTCAGAGAAGCCCAGCAGGAGGAAGCACCCAGGGGAGCTCTGGTTGACCATGGTCTCTGTATCTAGTTGGAGGGATGAGACTGTCAGATTAGTGTGGTACAAAGATCCTGGTGAAAACACACCCTGTGTACTTCTCAGGACACACAAGGTAGACTGATTTTTCTTGGGCTCCCTTTTCCAGGCTGGTCACCTAAGGAGTTCTCTTCCATTGTTCCTCCTGGTCAGATAGAGTCTGATAGCTGAGAGGAAACCTGGTATGTGGTGGAGAACAAGTGGCTCCTCACACTGGCTTCCTGGGCAAAGGAGGCTGGTTTTCAATAGCAGCAAAGCACTCTTCACTTTCTTTGTACAGTTTTTAGTGTGTGACTTTAGTGGCACCCACCCAACTCATTCATGCATCGACTTCTGTTCTTATTAACTTTCTGCTTCTAACTGGTTGTCCTCTTCGCAATTAACTCCCTCCTTTTCTCTGCCTCATTTCTGAATATCTTTATATATTTTAGATATCTTAGTTTCTTTGTTTCTCTCTCTCTCTCTCTCTCTCTCTCTCTCTCTCTCTCTCTTCCATTTGCTATAATTTCTCCTAGTTTTTGTCTTCCTGACTATTTTTGTTTTCGAGACAGGGTTTCTTTGTGTAGCCCTGGCTATCCTAGAACTCCCTCTGTAGACCAGGCTAGCCTCACATTCAGAGATCCGCCTGCCTCTGTCCCCAGTGCTGGGATAAAAGGTGTGTACCACCACTGCTTGGCTGTCTTTCTGACATTTATTGGTCTGTATATTTGTTTTTTTTTTCTTAAGCTTTAAGGTGTAAACATTGTGCTATGAGCCAAAGTAGGGGTTGGTTATCTGAAGAGGTTAGTGATGGTCTGGTAATCATTCTCTCATTTTTCTATTAGCATTGTACACCTGTGAAGTATTTTCCTTGGGCTGATTGTGACAGATAGCTATCTGAACAACTGGTTTCCATAGTGGCCCTGCAATGATCTTCCCAATTTTATCGGTGATCAAACTGTCTCATGGTAAATAACATGTTTTATGCCACCTATTCAATAGACACTGGGATCAAGATTCCAGAGATCATTGCCCTGGCCTGGTGTTCAGAGAAAAAGAGGCAAACTGTGGCTGACCATGGTCTGCTCCTGTTCAGAGCCTGAAGGAATGTAACCACATGGCCACCTGATTCAGTATAGGTGATAGAAATTTACCCTGTTTAGGTCAGGCATTGTAGCGATGCCTTTCATGGTAGCACTCAGGAGGAAGGAAGGTGGTGAGTTTGAGGTTGGCCAGGGCCACAGAGTGATACCTTATTTCAAAAGCAGAATTGGGCTAGAGTGGGCTCAGCAGTTAAAAGTGCTTGGTGTTCTTACTAAGTGCCAGAGTTCAGTTCCCGACAACCATGACAAGCAGTTCACAATAGCCTATTCCAGCTCCAGGGAACCCAATGCCCTTTTTCTGGCCTCTGTATGAACACACACACACACACACACACACGCACACACACACACACACACACATGCACACACATACACACACACTAAATTAAATCTCATCTTCTGTTTGTTTGTTTTAAAGCAACCTCCTCCAATAGCAAACAAACAAACAAAATCCCTGGTTTCATTTGCCTTCTAGCATGAGGCTTGGTTGTTGAGTACTCATCTGATATTTCACAGATAAATATTTTACTTACCTTCAACTAGAGAATATCCTCTTTGGCCAGCAATAGTCTGTCACCCAACTCTCAACAGGTACCTAGCCCCCAAAATGGACACCAAGAAGAAAACTTAATATAAGATTTATAAGATTATAAAACTGAATATAAGACCCATCTCTGAATGGGTGCCTAGATCTCTAGTATTAGTAAGAATTGATAATGTTCACTACTAGGCACTTTTCTAAGTACATTTATATGCAATGAGTTAGAACTAGTGAATAGTACCTCTTAGTAAATACATGTTGGCTAGCATCCTTCTTGTTAGGAGTATTTACACTGTGTAAATTCAGCAAATACTATAAACTAAGCTGGTTGTTAAACATCTGTCTACACACTTATCCTTTACAACTCTACATATCTGCACCTTCTTAACATGAGAAGTTGAAGCAAAGAACAGTGAAATCAATAAGCTAAGAGAGTGAATTTGTAAGCAATCAGAGTTGTGTAAACAACTGTAATCCACTGTCTTTTCTATAGCACAAATGAGGTCAAGGTAGGGCAGAGTCATCTCTTCCATCAAGGTTTTTACAAACAGCCTTCCCCCTCAGTACATGGAGGAGTTAACATCTGTTAGTGGTTCTGGTGGTGGAAAGCCTGACATGGTATTTGGTGGAGAGAGGGTCCCAGAATTCCTGTCCTATGGAGAAACAGCTCATTAATTCAACTGAGACCCAAGGGTTCCACAGTCCATAGACAATTAATTAGCTTGTAATTATGGTAAAGGAGCATGGGACTCTGGAGGAAGCATGCCAGCACTAGTTCCCACTGGAGCAGGTCAATAGTTCACCCACTACCTTTCTCTCAATAGGATAGTATTTGGAATAACCAATGTCATATCTGTTCTTCTTCACTCACCATCCAGGCATCTTCTTAGTTCTTTCATATATCCATATAGGACTGTACCATTAACATCTCTCAAATTCTTCCCTTCTGCTTAATTTCTCTTAAATATTCTATATTGTAATAATATGGGATGATCAGATCCTAGGTTTGTAGATGACTTGAGATATTTGTCTTCCCCTCATCTAATGAATCATAATGGGAGCATAGGTTCCACTAGCCCAGTTCAAATGAAGGTGGATGTATCAGGGCCGTGGCTATACCCGGAGCTCATTTTTAAACTCTGACTGTGTAACTTGAATGTGTATATTCATTAGCTGGCAGAATCCCACAGTGGTTCTTTGGTATGTTGAGTGACAGCCATAGCAGTGGTTAAAAACTCAACTCTACACTCTCTCCACAGAACAGTGTTATAATCCGTAAGATTATCACAGTGTAAAATGCTGAGCAGGATGTTGACCACGTTACTTCAGCCACATAACTATTCTAATCATCTTCAAACCCAGAGGTATCTTAGAGATGATGGAATCCCACAATGGAAACTAAAGAATAGCCACAACTATAGTAGTGATGTCTAGGTTTCACGAGTCTGGGTCTGCATCACCTTCTTTCTGCATTACAGTCTTGCATGTACTGAATAGACTCTCTTCAAATGCTATCATGAAAAAGGACCAGACTCAGTTTAGATTTAAAGGGGTGTGTAGATAAGTTCACACAACAGTCTTGCTCCTAGTTTATGTCAGAACTCTTTCATAACTGTGTTCCGATGGGACTTGGACAGTATCCTTTCCTTCAGGCAAACAAGCCTGCAATAGAATATGTATTGATTTCTGTACTTTAACTTAACCTCCTTCCCTCAATCTGTCCTTCTGTCTGTCCTTCTCCCTCCTTTCCACTTTCCTTCACTTCCTGGTTTATACAGACATCTTATGTATCCAAAGATGACATGAAACTTTCAAGTCTTTCTAATGCTGATATTAAAGGTGTGCACAGACTACTTGTCTGTGGTGTAGTGTGGCCAATATTAAATTATCAATATGGTGGTACTACGGTGGAGTACATCTTTAACCTTAGCACTCTGGCAGAGGCAGGTGGATCGCTGTGAGTTCAAGGTCAGACTGGTCTACTTAGAAAGTTCCAGGATAGCCAAGACCTTGTCTGAAAAAAATCAACCAACCAACCAACCATAAACAAATAAACCTAGAGTTGGAAAGAAATGCGCAGTTACACACTGTTGTCAGTGTATGATATAATATTTTATCATCTAGAAGTCATGGATGTGAATAGATATAGAACATGAAGTAAAACAACTGGAAAATTATGAGTTTAAATATTTATTATCTTTGTTTTAATATAGCTTATTTCAATATGAGTTTGTATAAATAAACTTTTTAATGTTGTGTGAACGTATTTATAATGATAATTCTCTTCTTTTAAGTAATGTTAAAATGTTGTGTGTATGTTGTGCGAGGGGGGTGCCCACAGAGACCAGAAGAGGGTTCAGAATCTTCTGGAGACAGAGTTACAGGAGGCTGTGAGCTGCCGGATGTGTGTGTGTTGAAAACAGAACTCAAGTCCTCTGGAAGAGCAGCAAGTACTTTTAGCTGCTGAGCCATTTCCCCAGCCTCTTGTAAAATTTCCTTTCCTCCTCTAGGACCGAGGCATGATTGTGGTACTCTCTGGTAAAACAGCATGAGGCATAAGCCTAAATGAGGATGAAAAAGAACATTGTAACAATATAAACATAACAAGATTTATATGAGGAAGAGAATATTAGTTGTGGGGCTGGAGAGATGGCTCAGTGGTTAAGAGCACTGACTGCTCTTCCAGAGGTCCTGAGTTCAATTCCCAGCAACCACATAGTGGCTCACAACCATCTGTAATGGGATCCGATGCCCTCTTCTAGTGTGTCTGAAGATAGTTACAATGTACTCATATAAATAAAATAAATAAATCTTTTAAAAACAAAAGAATATTAGTTGTAGGTGCATGATAGTAATGACCATCTATGAATGGAAAAATTGGTCAAGCTTGTGGACTTGATTATGATCTCATTCTCATGAGTATTTTTAACATATTTTTCGGAATATGAAAAAGGTAATACTTGCTAATCTAAATATTGCCTGTAATAAAGTTCTAGAAATGTTTAGAAATATTGATGAGGAGTCACATGAAATATTTAAAAATATAGGGAGTTAGAGAGATTGCTCAGTAGTTAGGCATGCTTATTGATCTTGTAGAGTACCAAGAATAAGTTCCCAGACCATACAACGCAGTTCACAACTGTCTGTAACTCCAACTTCAGAACGTTTAACGCTTTTTTCTGGCCTCTTAGGACTCCTACACAAACATCTACACATATATACAGCCAAATACTCTCACATATATATCAAATAAATTTTAAAATGTAAAAAATACAAATTCACAGAAAACATGACTTCAAGAGATTCTCTACACACATGCAGACACATGCATGCATGCACACACATATGCATGCACACACATAAACACACCTATATGACAAGACCGTATCACATGAAACTAGTAACAATTTTTTTAAAATTCAGTAACTAGCTTTCAATGGTCCATTAGTCAAAATAGTTTAAGAGTCACACAAAATTAGCCCCTCTAATGTCAGAAAGGTATTTCAGCCCATCCATTGATTTAACATGCTTTAAAATACATGTAGCACAAACTCATTACCTAAATTTGATTTAAAATAAACAATACCTAAAATGCACAGTATTACTAAAAAAAGGTCTTCAAACATCATACGTCAACTTTAATTTTTAAGAATGAAATTAGAAATAGCATATCAAGGCCTATTTTAATAAGACTCATTGATAAACAGTCTATTTATAGCCTTCAGAACATTTCCGTCAGGATGTGAAATGCCTGAAAATGTTATACAAAGTATTTTGTATCAAGATCTTCATAATTTGTTTGTAGAATTTTCCACACAGAGTATTTTCATAGGAGTTTCAAAGGATTGGCTACTACTGACAATTGTCTAATTTAATCTTTAATTATGGCCGAGTATAACAACTGTTTTATAGACTTCCAGAAAATTCAACCATCAGTGTCATTGGTTGAGACTGTATTGATCAAGTAGAGTCAGCCAGGAGGGTATGTGTACTGGGGGCAGTAATGTAACAGCCCAGAGAGTAGGAAATAAAACCCCAAAATATCCAGAGCTCCTCACACATGTGGAGTTGTTAGAAGTCTGTAGTCTGGACCTGTCAGGGGCAGCCTTGCTTATATACTGAAGGCCTAAAATCAGCAATAGGCCTAAGTCAGCCTGCTAGCACTAAGTCTTGGGTCTCTGTGGAAAAACACTGAAACAGATAGGTATAAGATATTGTAAACAGGCAGCTTTGGTGGAAATTTACCAGCCTGGATGAGAACAAGTAGTCATAGGTCTTGTGGATAGTCATAGACCTTGGGTAGCCTTGGTGGATAGTACCAACGTAGATAAGGACAAGTGAATCATAGGCGGAGTTATAGTGACCTGTCCCCTGAACCTTTACCCAGTTGATACCCTATTCTGGAAGATATTTGTGCTCCCCCTGAACACCTACACTCCTGCGTCATCTCTTTCTTCACATCCTGCCTTTTTGTGTATATATAACCCCTGTGTGAAAAAGTAAAAAAATGGCGATTTGATCATACTATAGACAAATCGGGATTCTTTGCGTTTGCCTGTTTTCCCCATCCACTCTTTCAGGTGACCTCCCCGACCCCTGTTTACTGGCCTGCTGGATGGGGCATGGACCATTGAATGGTATCCATTCAAAGTAAGGACAAATTCTGCGTTCATTTTGACACAGGGGAAGCAAATTTCAGTGATTGACTTTTTTTCTCCCCAGAACCACTTACTGGTGAATGACTTGACCACAGAGCAGGAAAGGGCTCTCGTACCGGTATACTGCTGCTTTTCACATAAGAGCCACCAGACTTTAGAGTATGAAACATCAAAGGTCAGAAGGAATTCTTAGCTTCTAGATTTCTTGGTCAAGGTAATCTTATAAAATTGAAAGAAAAATATTCATTAGGGAATCTTCCAGGCCTGCTCTTCACTTTAGAGACTATGTCCCTGTTAGAGACAAAGCTCCTAACTGTGGGATATCTAATGTCTTTGAGGCTAGAAATGCTTACCATTGATAGGGTTTTGCCAAACCAATGGAATGATTAAGCCACATGGTTACAACATCCTTCACTGTAGTGTACTAGTTGTACATCTTGGTGTAACATATACATAACTAAACATATATGCATATAACATACGCATAACTAAAGTCAAAACAAGACCATGACTGTATCCTCATTGTTGTCCTAGCATTTTTCTTGGATATATCAATCATTTGAATTTTAATTACCAGTATCTCCCCAGTTTTGTTTAAAAGTCTCAGTGTGTCTACCCATCTGGCCTTGAACGTACAGCAATCCTTCTGCTATGACTATTTCTCTCTTAGGTATTTTTGGAGTCTGCATCCTTCCCCAGCATCCTCCAAAATGCTTTCTTTACCTCCTTGTTCCTCAGGGTGTAAATGAGAGGGTTCAGTGTGGGAGTGCCCACTGCATAGAAAAGACCAAAAAACTTGCCCCTCTCCTGGGCATAGGGATTTTTGGGTTGCAGATAGACAGCGATGACTGAGCTGTAGAAGAGGGTGACCACAATGAGGTGGGAGGAGCAGGTCCCCAAAGCCTTTTTCCATGCTTCAGTGGAGTTTATCCTTAGCACTGCCCTGGCAATGGCACCATAGGAGACAAGGATGAGGCTCAGAGGCACAACCACCAGAATGACACTGGACACAGCCAACTGAATCTCATTAAAAGTGGTGTCCCCACAGGACAGTCGAATCAGAGATGGAACTTCACACAGAAAGTCGTCTATCTGCCTATGGGGACAGAAGGGCAGGCGGAGGGTGGGAGGTGTCTGGACTATGGATTGAAGCAGCCCCATCATCCAGGCCACACCAGCCAGCTTCCAGCACAGGCGGGGGTGAATGATGGTGGCATAATGCAGGGGCTGGCAGACGGCCACATAGCGGTCAAAGGCCATCACTGTCAGGAGGATGCACTCGGTTGTTCCCAAGGACAGGAAGATGAAGAGCTGGACAGAGCATCCCAGGAAGCTGATGGTCTTTGTGGGGCCCCAGAGGTTGAACTGCATCTGGGGGACACAGGTTGTGGTGAAGCAGAGATCCAAGAAGGAGAGGTTAGAGAGGAAGAAGTACATTGGAGAGTAGAGCCTGGGGTCCAGTGTGGACAGCAGGAGAATGAGTGTGTTTCCTAGGAGGGTGAGGAGGTAGGAGCACAGGACAACCATGAAGAGAACCTTTTCCAGGTGTGGGTGTTCAGAGAAGCCCAGCAGGAGAAAGCTCACAGGGGAGCTCTGGTTGACCATAGTCTGTTTCTGCTATGAATCCAGCTGGAGGTGCTGTCTCATCATCATGATTCAATGTGTCCTGGAGCCCTGCTATGGGACACTTCTGCCTCTACCTCTGCCTCTTCTTGAGCACACCGTCCAGCAGCTCCTTGTTTTCTCCCGAAGCTCCTGATCGTCTCTTACTGCTTCTGTCAAATGTCTAGTGGTCACAAGGAAACCAGGAACAGGTGTATCCTATACTTGAACCTCTGGTTCCTTCGTTAAGAGAAAAAAGAGGCTGATTAAAAACATGTATTCACTCATTAATTTTATTATCACAACAAACATTTGCCAAGCATATGTTGTGATCTGAACACTGGCCTACTGTTGAAGCTGTTCCTTCTGTGTGGTAGGAATAATAATGAATTTTGTGGCTGATTGATGACATGATGATAAATATTAGTTCGGATTCATCTTACTTTCTGAAAGCATTCGGAGAAGATTAGATGAGAGATTAAAACTAGGTCTATGGATGAGATATTCCCACTAACGAAATGCAGCCATCTCCAGTGAGCTCAACTAGGATTCTTGTTTGAAAACAAAGCTCATGGGGCTGGACAGATGGCTCAGTGGTTAAGAGTGCTGACTGTTTTCAGAGGACTTGAGTTTGCTTCCCAGCACCTACATGGAGGCCCACAGTAACTGCTGTTCTGGATCTTTCAGGTGTGCAAGTGATGCACAGACGTACATACGGGCAAAACGCCCATAAACATAAAACACAATTAAAATTAAATCAAAACAATCTTTATGGCTCATAAAATTGAAACAAATATTTTCCCTCAAAGAGAAAAACCTCTTTCATTATACGTATGTGGAAATTTTTTTTCAGAAAGAAGTATTAGACTTACAACGATTGTCATCTGATACTGTAATGACATAAATCCTTAAGAACGTAGAATCCTAGGGCTGGAGAAATGACTAAGTGGTTAAGAGCACAAACTATTCTCACAGAAAGTTTGAGTTCAGTTGCCAGCACCTATGTTGGCTAGCTCACAACTACCCATACTTCCTGTTCCAGGGGATCTGACATCACTAGCTTCCTCAGTCACCTGTATACATGTGTGCATACTCACAAATACACACAGAATTAAAAGCAATAATTTTTTTTCAAAAGTTGAAAAGAAAAATGAGAGAAGATACAATCCAGGCATTGGGCTATCTTAGACTGGAGGACCTGTGAGTTTGAGACAGCCTGGGCTTCAGAGTGAGGCCTTCCTCGCAAAATAAAGCAAAAAAATAACCAAACCCCATGAAGTTTGCTAGTAAAAGTCTGAAGTAGGTTAATTTAATTATTTTCTCTTTTGATATAAGGCAAAATTTTCTTGCAGAATATTTGAAGTCCCTCTGTCCCCTTCCCTTCTCTTCTTCTTCCCTCCTTTCTTCTTTCAAAGCCAGGGTATTGCTACATTACTGAGACTGATACAAATACATGCAGGACTGACTATGTAGTCTTGAATGGACTTGAACTTGAGATCCCCCTACATCAGCACCACAATGTTGAAATATGAGACATACAACGTAGGGTTTTGGTTTTGCATAATTATTAGTTAACATGACTCAGATACATTTTCAAATATTTTATTTTGAAGTAAGTTTATATATTCATAAAAGCTACCATAGTGGTTCTAAAATCACTTATATAACTTTTTAAAAGATTCACCATTTAAAGAAATAGTTTTACTTATGCTATATTCCTTGAGTATCCTTTTTATTCTGAGTCATTGAGAGCAAGTTACTGGCATCAGGATCCTGGAACAATGTGGTCTCTGAAACAAAATATACAGTAAATGAATTCCAAGAACTTATAATTGATATAGTGCCTCATGAACACCTCACATTCCAAATTTGTCCATTGTTCCAATACCTTGAGAAGTGTTTTTGTGAGAAATGTCATAAAACACATGACCAAAAGCAACTTGAGGAGAAAAGGGTTTACTTCAGCTTATAGCTCCCAGGTTGTTCTTCATCACTGAGGAAAGTCAGAGTAGGAACTGAAGAAGAGACCATGCAGGAGTCCTACTTACTGCTTTGCTTTCCATCAGTTTTTTCCTTTTACCTGCTTTTTTTTTTCTTTTGGTTTTTCAAGACAGGGTTTCTCTGTGTAGCCCTGGCTGTCCTGAAACTCACTCTGTAGACCAGGCTGGCCTTGAACTCAGAAATCCACCTGCCTCTGCCTTCCAAGTGCTGGGGTTAGGGTTAGGGTTAGGGTTAGGGTTAGGGTTAGGGTTAGGGTTAGGGTTAGGGTTAGGGTTAGGCTTACCTGCTTTCTTATACAATCCAGAACCACCTACCTAGGGATGGTACCACTCACAATAGGCTATACCGTTCCCTAATTAATCAAGAAAATGCCTTAGAGACTTCACTATAGGCAAGATAATGGTGGCATTTTCTCAGTTGAGGTTCTTCTTGCTAGATAGTGCTATCTTGTATTAAGTTGACAAACAACAACAACAAAACCGAAACAGTAACCAGGCCAATAGGACTGTTTTTTTTTTTTTGTTATAGTACCATATTTAGCTCAAAATTCACATTGCATACTTAGCTCTGTTTAAAGCAACCTGGTAACTCACTAAGGTAAGATTTTTGTTTTTGTTTTTTTTGTTTTAATTGGGCAATGTCAACAGACCATGTGTCAGAGCTCATTGACTGGAAAGTTGAGCTGTCTCTTGTCTTTGAAAAACCCAGACATCATCAGAAGAAACCAGAACTGAAAGCCTATATAAGGTAAAGTTACTGAGTGGGGGAGAGACAGCACTGTAGAGAACAGTGTTGTTTCCTGAAGGAGGTGATGGTACTATTCTAAAAGAGAGGGTATCTGGGGCACTGAAGCTCACCTTGGAGGTGGCAGGCAGTGACAGTCACTAGGACAGCTGAGAGGCAGGATTCCTGCAGGCTGATGGGTGGGCCTACAGAGGGGATGAGTGGACTGTGTCTCCTCACAGGTGCCCTCTTGTGTGCTTGGAGCTTCTGTGCCATCTTTCCTCCTCCAGCTTAACTCTGACTCTCCTTCTGCCTTCTTCTCTTCCTCCCATTTTTTCTCTCTTTGAAAGAAAGAAGACCTTTATTACTTTCCCTCTGAGGGAAGACTCCTTCCAGTATTAAGTGCTTTGCTGTTAATAATTTCTGCAAAAGGCTTAGAAGCCATTTGTGTGCCTCTCCTGGTCACACCCACTTCCCACCTCTTAAGAGGCAATCACTCTTACTTAGATTATTTGTCTTAAATTCTCCTATGCTGTCTTTAGCACTTCTTGTGTTACTAAAAAGCAATTCAAGGGCTTCTTAGCTGTGAACTCTTCAACATCCTTCTTGTGTCTCTGGCTTTCATACAGTCCTGGTCACTTTGAGTTTATTATTTTCAAGATCTTCAATGTCCATCATCCTTTGGTTATCTTTCTGTTGTTTTTTTGTGCTATGATTCAAAACTCCCCCACCCTCTTTATCTGATCTAATTCTCAGACATCAAAATTCAAATATTACTTGACAGTCTTCCAGTTATTTCCATTTTCATGGATTCATTCTTTGTCTTTCTGTCGGGTCTATCTATCTATCTATCTATCTATCTATCTATCTATCTATCTATCTATTATCTATCTCTTTTTTCAAGACAGATTTTCTCTGTGTAGCCCTGGCTGTTCTTACTCTGTAACTTAGTCTGAACTTACTCTGTAGATCAAGCTTACAGAGATCAGAGATCTACTTGCTTCTGCTTTCCAGGTGCTGGGATTAAAGGCATGTGTCACCACTGCCTGGCTGTTCCTCTTCTTTACTGATCACCAAAGACCTAGGCATGCACTAGAAGGTACAGGGAATGGGTTGCCATATCTGTTCTTGTTGGTGTCTACATCATGACTCTGTTACTATCTGCTGAGAACTGTACATCTGGCCCTATGCTGCATTTCTAGAATATTCATTAGCATTATTCTCTCTTTACAGAGGCACAGTATCAGAGTATTGAAACACCTTACCCAACATTACACAGCCATGAAGGCCAGGCATGGATCCTGAGCCCTGCTTGACTTCCTATCTGATACTCAAGCACTCTGCATCCATTATGTAACCCAGGTACAATGGCTGTATTCTATCTTTGTTTCCAGATGAAGAGAAACACAGACAGGTCAAATAATTTGTTCAGAACAATATGTGCCAGACATGGCCCATATTCTTTAAGACATGGGGGATCTTGCCGGACTACAGAAGAAAAATACCAGGACTTACTATGGTTAGGGCAAAGTCTTCTCACTCCTTGGCAGGTGTGGGTTCCCCGTGATGAGGACCTTCTGGCCTGAATGGAGCCTCCACTTGATCTTCACACCATGAAAAGTGAGAGCAAATTGATGCTTGTGTCTCTTTGACAGCACTGGGGTTAGTACTCAGCATACTGTGGATGGGAATGCCATCCTGAGCTTCCCAAAGCACTCTGCGTCAGTGGCATTATCTGCATATGAGTACAGAATTTTCTCTTTGATTTCAGGTGAAGAAATACACATTCAGGCAAAATAATTTTTCAGGAGAATGCGATAATGCTGAACCTTGAACCACAAGAGACTGCTTCCAGCTTCTGGCACTCACCACATCTTACCACTATTGTTCTGCCAAAATTAGGATGTTATCTTCCCTTTCTCTGGCACTGGAGATAGAAAGGAAGAATCCTTGGACTCTCAATCCATAGGGACATGTTTATTAGTTCTCCTAGGACTCTGGTGCCTCTGCCCACTGATGATTAATTAACCACTGTTGATAATGATGGTTAAGACCAAATCAACAACAACATTCCATTAGAATATTCCGTGGTGATAAGGTCACCTCTGCTTCTTAGTGTCTCCAGGGGGAATAATGACATTATCTTCTCTATGATCCTCTTGATTTCTCTCTCTCTGTTTTTAAAAATAATTATTTATTTATTTTATGTATATGAGCACACTGTTGCTGTCTTCAGACACACCACAAGAGGGCATCAGATTCCATTACAGATGTTTGTG